TACTAGTATATTAAATCTGTTGTGTATATTTGAATCCATTGTATTGAAAGTTATTGAATCTTCTACTGCGAATCCGGTATCCAATATTGAAACAACTTTCTACAGTTTCTTCCTTGTTTATTTCCGGTTTAAGATTTGTACCACTCAAATAAGTATCAGACAACGTTCTGCACATTAAATTTTATCCCATTAAGCCATTTTTGAGGCAGACATTATGTTGTTTCCAATTATGTAGGCTGCAGCTACAGAAGGAGATGAAGCTAATGTGGTCACAGACTATTATCTTAAGGTACAAGAAACTTAAAATATTATGTTATTGAAATGTACCATTACAATTGGAGCAAATTTTAAAAATTATTTTAAATTTTCAGGTTTTGGGGCTCGATGTCTGTGTAGATATTTTGGTTGGAGATGAAATGATAAGAGGAATTTCTGGAGGACAAAAGAAGCGTGTCACAACTGGTAAAATAAACGAAAATGAAAAAACAAATTTTCTTAATTAGTTGTCTCAATCATGATATTAAATTGTTTTGATCAAAATCTACAGGGGAGATGCTTGTTGGACCAGCAAAGGCACTTTTCATGGATGAGATATCCACAGGATTGGACAGTTCCACAACTTTCCAAATTGTGAAAATGCTTAGACAATATGTGCACATTATGAAAGAAACCGCTTTTATCTCCCTCCTGCAGCCAGCACCCGAGACATATGATCTTTTTGATGACATCATTCTCTTGTCAGATGGCCAGATTGTTTATCAGGGTCCCCGAGAACAAGTGCTCGACTTTTTTGAATCCATGGGCTTTAGATGCCCCGACATAAAGGGTGTGGCTGATTTTCTACAAGAAGTAAGATAAAAAAGAATTCAATACAGCTGAATAGCGTTGTAAACACGTGTAGTCATTTTTCCCTTTCATTGCTAATGAAAAATAAATCTATGGACAGGTGACATCAAAGAAAGATCAGCAGCAATACTGGGCTAAAGATGAGCCTTATAGGTTCGTCTCCGTTGGTGAATTTACTGAGGCGTACCAGTCATTCCATGTTGGCCGGAAAGTTGGGGACGAGCTTTCAGTTACATTTGACAAAAGCAAAGGCCATCCAGCTGCTTTAACTACCCAAAAGTACGGTCTTGGAAAGAAAGAGCTCCTGAAGGCTTGTGCTGACAGAGAACTCTTACTGATGAAGAGAAACTCATTTGTCTATTTCTTCAAACTCTTCCAGGCATGTATTAGAAATTTAGAAGTTGTGTACTATTAATGTATGTTCATATGTTTTACATGGCATGCGGTTATTAACAATTACTTTTACATCTGTTTTCAGATTACTGTAATGTCATTGATAGCAATGACTGTCTTCTTCCGAACTAAGATGCACAAAAATGATGCACCTGATGGAGGAATATATACTGGTGCCCTATTTTTCAGTGTCGTTATGGTTATGTTCAATGGAATGTCAGAGCTTGCCATGACAATTTACAAACTTCCTGTCTTCTACAAACAAAGGGACTATCTCTTTTTTCCTGCGTGGGCATATGGACTTCCCTCGTGGATCTTGAAAATCCCGATTACTTTTCTTGAAGTTGCCATTTGGACATTTCTCACGTACTACGTTATTGGATTTGATCCAAATGTAGGAAGGTAAAACTCAAAATTATTAATATCCCTGGATAAAATTGCACTAGTATGCCTCACCTCATTTTGTTCTTCAAATGATTATTGACTGATAATCTATGATACAGACTATTCAAGCAGTATATGCTGCTCTTACTTCTCCACCAGGCAGCATCAGCATTGTTCAGATTCATTGGGGCAGCGGGTAGGACCATGATTGTTGCAAACACATTTGGATTATTTGCACTGCTCCTGCTCTTCGCATTAGGTGGCTTTGTTCTTTCACGAGGTATAAAATGTGCATCAAATATTTAAATCAATTTTCTTCTGTTTAAATAACTATTGGTTTTCTTATCATAATATTTTGTCATCTTTACAGAGGATGTTAAAGGTTGGTGGATATGGGGTTACTGGGCTTCTCCTATGATGTATGCACAGAATGCAATTCTTGTAAATGAATTCACAGGACACAGTTGGAGCCAAGTAAGCGAATGCATCAACTTATTGCTTTTTGGCTTTTAATCTAATTTATATCTCTCAACTTATTAGCTGATTCTTATTTTTTTTCTTATTTAAAGCTAAATGGAACTGAAACATTGGGAGCTGTTGTGACAAAATCTCGAGGGTTCTTTCCCCAAGCATACTGTATCAAATTCTCTTCTAGCATATAACTAGAGTAGAAAGAAAGAAGAAATTAAAAACCTGCTGTAATGGCAGGGAAG